AAAGATAGCAAGATCATCCCACCAGATAATGGCAATAACTCACCCCTCTTCAGAGAATCAACATGCAGCCCATTTAAGCCCTAATTTGAGGTGATGCATAGGCCTTTCTGTACAAGGCTAAATTTCCCCCACAGGGACCAAGGTCTGACTGGTGCACGAAGACTGAAATTCTCTCTTGCTAGAGGTGGTCCCACCAGTTGAGGGTTGAGGCACATTGGAAGGGCAAAATGGTGTGAGGAAGCCCACGTCACTGAATGTGCCTTGGTTTCTATAGATCGAGGAGGGAAGGTTTCAGTTTTCAGATTTGTTAATATCAAAATTTCTTTCATGTGCACGTATTTTCTATACAGCACATACAGCTTTAGTGTTATTCCTATTCATGCTGAGGACCCAGAGAACTGGGAAAGGGCTCTGCCTTCCATTCTGCCTCCCAGATCACCAAACAGGATCGCTGGCTAACTTCTAGTTACTTGATCTGTGCAGGGGGTGACGGTATTGGAAGCAAAAAAGGACAAAGTTATGAGAGTCTAGTGCTTAGCTGACAGAGTGGCATTATCAGCCAAAGACATTTGATATGGTCTCGCTGAGAGGGAATGAACATGGAAGCCCATTTTAAAGGATATTTTTAAGAGCATGACCACACTTCAGGGAAGGGGGGTGGTTTTGTGGAAAGAGGAAGCATTGTCTAGTGGTTAGAGAGGCGGGGAGCTGGAGCAATTTGTAGAGTGGGGGCCATTGAACCAAGCTGTAAACCCTGTATATAATGGAAACCCCTTCAAGCCAGGGGGTGCAGCAGCACACCCCGCATCCCTAGTTCTAGCACCTATGTAGAGAGGACACTGCGTCAGAACTCCTGAATTTTGCCACTGATTCATCATATGACTTTGGAGAAGTCACCTGACTTCCCTCTGCATTTGTAAATTGAGTAGAAACTAAACTTCCTTCTTTCCTTAGAGGCCGGTGTGAAGTGCTGTGGATTCTGATTTATGATACTATTGAGTGTTAGAGCATTGAAGAGCTAAACAGTTACAGTTTTTGAACTGTGCCCAAGAAACCCGCTGAGACCCCTATCCTGCACACAGATCCAAGCAATCACTTGCATGCAAGGGTCTACCTACATGGATCATCTTGGAGCATCAGAGACTGTGGAATTAAACATGAGACATTCTGGCAAGAATTTCGAAGATTGTAAGGAAAATCATTCCCCTTGGTAGCACATCAAACCATTCTTAAGGACAAGGAGACATGGGGACTTTACAACAGAAAAATTTAAGCCAGAGTGGATCACCAGACACCTCCTGTTATTTTATTTTCTAATAAATCAAACCCGCCCTGTGACAATCTGACTCCCGAAAGGAGTGTCCTGTTCTGATGAGCCACATGAGAGGAAAAATACAAAGAAGGAGAAAGACAGATCAAAAAAGGGCAATACAAAGGGCCCTAGAGGCAGACTTAAGTTTGGTATTTAATATTTCAGGTACAATACTCACTTAGCATCAATTATCTTTGTTTTTTTTTTTTCCAAAGGAAATTGCCTTCAGAATCAGCCAGCTCTCTAATTACCAGATTGAACGATTGAAATTTTTAGGGCAATTAAATTCAAGCCTTTCTTTTTCAGACCTCATGTTATCCCCCTCTTCTCCCTCCCCTTTCCAGTCTGGAGCCTTTCTCTAATTTGGCGGCAGTTGCAAGAGGCAAGCAAACCTTTAAAGCCAAGACGTATGTCTCTCCGAATTCCTCTGTGGATTTATTTTATAGACTAAGCAGAGAGGGACCTGGTGAGCTTGTGCTCTCACGACACACATGTAACAAACATAATGCAGGGTGGGTTTTAGTCTAACGTGTCTTTTTATTTTAAAAAACCCTGAAAAACTGGCTTGAAAGAATTAATTAAATGTAGACACTCTCGTGAAAATCCAAAGATCAATGCAGGAAAAATAAGCAACATAGAAAGAAACCTGAAGATCAACATAGTAAGCAATGTCACAGATTGATGATGATGATGATAATAAATAAATAATAATATACCATAAGACTCTAAAAATCACAATAAAATAAAATACAAACAATTCTGGTCATGCAAGTGCTAAGACAAGGACACACAATGGTTAAATGGCAAGGGCAAATATTCCTGCAAAAGAAATCAAAATAGGCAGGGTAAAATCCTGACTCTACTGAAGTCAAGGGCAAAACTGCCTGTGTATCATTATTGTTAGGATTAAGGACAAGCTCAGGCCTGGCAAAGCAGTTAAGCATGTGCTTAACTTAAGAACATGAGCAATTACACTGACTTCAGTAGGACTGCTCACTGCCTAATGTTAAACACATGCTTAACTGCTTTGCCGGATGGGGGTCTAAATCAGTACGCTGAATAAAAAGAGCCTTTATCTCATCAACCACAGTAAACTTTTGAAATCCTATTGGTTTATCCTCAAATGCCTTATTCTGAATTTTCAGTTGAATGGATTCAGTCTTCAGTACAGACACTGGGCTGCTCTCCACCAAGAAGCTGCAGGGGAATGGACTGCATGGGTCTGAGTCTACGTTGGTGTAACTCCACTCAAGTCAGGATAATGAATGCTGTCCTAAATTCGGACTTGCAACCAGGACAATTTCACTAAAGCCAATGGAATTATAATTATTTATTATGGTTTTATTTATTCATTACTTTTATTGTTTGTTGCTTAGTTATCACCGTAGCTGTTCACAGTGCTTTAAACACAACAGCTGACGAGCTTGCCGTCAAAGTTAAGATACGAACAGCAGGTGGCTCACGCAGAGAAGGGTTGGACACTGGGAAGAACAAAGGCCCGATTCAGCGAAGTACATAAGCACACACCTAACTTTAGGTTTGTCTGACTTCAGTTTGCTTAAACACCTTGCTGAATCAGGGCCAATGTGATTGCGGTATACAGCTACTTGGGAGACTGACGCATATGACTGAAAAGCATGTTTTTTTAAAATGCATTTTCTACTTTATCCTACGCGTTTATACTGTTTCCATTATTGTGGCTTCTGAGCTCCTATATGAAGCCGCACTGTGTAAACCTTCTTGAAGAAGTGAGTTGTGAGAAGAGATGTAAAGGAGGGGAGATTATAGCAGATAGGATCAAGAAGTAGGTTTCAAGCATAGGAATCATTGTTAAATGGATCACAGCAGTGAATTTGCCCCCATTCTTTGTATATTTCACTGCTCTTTAGTCTAGGTTCTGCTCTAATACAGAACGGGAAACATGAAGTGTTTTCATATATACATACCAGATTTTCAGGTTGTGTAAATTGTTGTATCTCATTGAATAAAATTACACCAATTTACACGAACGGAGGATCTGACCCATTTGAACAGAGTCAAAGAAAATTGACGAGATGTACTCAATCATCGTTTGACACTGGGCTTTTGGCATTTATAGATACATATGTGTCCCCTCTAATGAAAGTGATCGATCTCTGGATTTGTCTAGACAGATACTTCTAGATACTACATGTAAGCTCTTTGTGACAGGGACCATCTTTTGTCTAGTGTCTGTACAGCAGCTAGCACAATGGAGCCCTGGACTATGACTGGAACTCCTAAGCACTACAATAAATAAAGAGAACAATTAATAATAACAATAGTTTTCTGGGGGGGATCTATATGGAAATGATAATGGAAATCTCTGTGAAATGGCTAGTGTCATTTTCCATTAATGGAAATTGTAGCTAATGTGTCAGATTCTGCTCTCAGTTACCTTGATGTAAATCCAGAGTAACTCCATTGAAATCCTTTGATTTACTCTGGATTTTCACGAGTATAAAAGGAAGCAGAATTTGGCTCTATGTATTTTCTGAATGTCTAGCCTACTGGACTTATAGCAACCTTTCATAGCCAGGAGATCATTTTTTTCCTTAAAATTATTCCATTATTATTTTATTTTATTTTATTTTATTTATTTGTGATGTAGCAGCACCTATAGGGTCCCAGTCATGGACTGGGGCCCCATTGTGCCAGGCGCTGTACAGAACATGAGATAGATTTTGTACTTTTGTTTCCTGCTTTCTAACAATTTGTGCATTTCAGTTAAAGAGAGCAATGAATCTACAACAAGGCCCCTGCGATAAACCAGGGAAGTCCTGGCACAACACTATATTTAGCCTGCTACCTGTGCCTAGTGTTCCATGCTTTGAAGTCCAGGGATTACCATCAATTCACCCTAGCTGAGGGTCTGGCCCACAGTCGCCTTTATTTTCACTGGTGGAAGTAATAGGAAAATCACACCGGTTGCCATCCTTCAGTACGATGATCTTCAAGTGTTTACCCCTATGACTGCTGTATCTGCAGGGAGCCTCATTGACCTTACTGGGAGTCTGGGCAGGGGCAGCAGCCTGCCATGTGCTACACATGGCAGGACCGAGGTCTCAATTTAAAGAAACATAAATTAAAAATAAATGATGATTAATAATTGGGTTTAACTATACAGGGTCGTCCATGTCATGCAAAGGGTGAGTTTCCTACGGGCTGGTTACTTTCCCACACTTAAGTGGGCCACACATAGAGCGTCAGGTAACTGCCAGAATGGTGTTCGGGTTGATGACACGGTTGGGCTGTGGCTGGCGTTCTTTGTCTCCATGTAGGTATCATTCGGGAGGGCGGTGATGGTTCAGTTCCAGCCTTTCTCTCTAGTTCTGAGCAGTCTTGATGGCCACAAATCACTGCTAGTTTCTTCTGCACTTTCTCAAGGAGTCTCAGTGCTTCCCTCTGCCTGCCTTTCCAGGAGGCCTTGACAATTTACAATCCTTTTTAGTGAGTGCTGGTATTCACTGGTTAGAAGCACATGGGAAAGCCCCTTCAGCTCTGGCTCATTGTGAGGACTGTGCAATTGTATCCCAACTGCCTATCTACTTATCTGCTGCAGTATTTATGTGAAAGCAAAAGCCCTGTGTGGAACAGATGCTTGGAATGGTATTGGGATCCAATGACTGCACTTTTCCAATCTTACATCTATTGTCTAAACTTGGAGCAGGCATATTTTTACTCCTCGGTGACACTATATAAAGGAACAATTGGCATTGTGTATGCTGGCCGGCTAGTTGGCACAGAAGGGGCAGAAGGAACAGCAACACCATGGTAGGAGTTACTTTTTCCCAAGCTTGCTTGCTTTCTTTCTTTCTTTCTTTCTTTCTTTCTTTCTTTCTTTCTTTCTAACCATAGCTACTTTAACAGGAGCAATGATAATAACAATGTCAGATCTCATCCTTAAACAGAATCACATTCAGACTGAGGAGATAGCCAGCACCGGAGACACTGGATGAGCTGTGAATTTCAGAGCACCTTTTTGCACTCTATTAATAAATGTGTTAGGTCTGGAGACAGTCAGAGCAAAATCTTACCCGTGCTGCATGGATTCACCAGCTGGGGGAAATAGCTCGCTGGGAGTCTCTTTTCCAACCTAGTCTCACCTTGGGGCAGCAACTAATGCAGCTAGCGGTGCTGAATAGCCCGAAGATAAATAGTCTGCTGCGGCCGAGGCAGCTTTGTGACAATGTTGTCATTGGCACAAGGAAGAAGAGGCAAGGAGCACTACAGAGATTATAGTCTCCATAGCCAACTCCTTGCCCTCCCAGCCCCACTGGGCATCCTGCCCTGTGCTGGCAGGATGGCTCCGGGACCTGCTGCATGGCTACCTCTGCACTATTGTCCCAGCCTATGTGGTTCCAAAGAGCAAGGGCAGATTTTCAGCCCAAGATGACATCTGTGTATCTGGCTCTGCGCTTGCCTTCTGCGTTTTCACTGGACTGACTAAAACATCATTCAACAAGGGCTGGAGCACTGGAGGTTTTTCTATCTTAACAAGGAGGGAAAGGAATATTGCGTCTTTAATTATTTGCTTTCAGCTCTTTTTCTTTATTTTCCTCCATCTCTTGCCTCCTTTCAGGCGCCCTCAGTGTAGCATTTCCCACTGGCACGTGTGGCTGCTATTTGCAGCCTATTGACACCAGAGACCTGTGTTTGAAAACCCTTGTTGAAGCGTGGTTCAAGCCTGGCTCCCTTGAAGCAGGAGATGAATGTGCCCCAACCACTGTTCTGAACAGGACCAAACCACAATCAAAACAATCTCTAAAAACCATGCTCAAGACCAGGTTGTAACATCAGCTTGCGCATAGTGAAAATGGTTTGTCCCTGGACACGCCAGCAACCAAAGCCTGTTCACCACTGGTTTAGAGGAGAGTGTATTTGTCCCGATTTTCCAACTGGGACCTCAGATATATAGGCTACACTTTAATGGATTTCTCTAGCACCTAAGCCAACCATTTATCTGGTGACATGTATTGGGTCTTGACTTTTTCTTTTTCACCCCTTTACGTGTCTTTCTCTCCCCCCTCTCATTCTGGTGAACTGACTCCTTTCCCACAATGCTCTCTGCCTTTTGGAATAATTATTCCAAGACTATCTGTGGCCAAACTGGCCAATGCTATGGATCTCAGAATGTGGCAACACATGTCCCCAAAGCCTCATTGCTACTGAAGACTGTCCGTGATGTTGCTTTTCACTGTGCCTTTTGCTCTGGGAAACCATCTTCTGAAGCACCTTACAATTCACGGACACATGAAACAGATTTAAAATGGAAAGAAAAAATTGTCTTAATGAAAGAAAGCTGAGAATATCTTTACATAAGGAAGAGATCATTTTTTATTAATCAGAGGGAAATGTATATGTAATTATGCAAGATGAACTCTGTGAAGAGGGTTTCCCCCCCCTTTATGATGTCTTAAGGGATTTATAAATATTACAGAGGTTTTATAGCATCATAATATTTCAGATGTTCAGTAAAGCTACTTTCAAAGGATTAGTGCAGACAAAGCACCACAGTAAAAAATAATTAGAAGTCAGCCAGTGCTACTAGGTTCTGACATACAGGATTGAAGAGGATGAGAATGGCAGGGTTCAGGGAGATAATTTTTCTAACAAGAAGCAGACCACACAAGTGTTACAGGATGGAATTCTGAGAACTGTGTGTCTATAGGTCCCAGTTAATACCAGGGAATTTTCAGTAAAGTTGGATCTGTGATGTCTCTATGTGTGTGTGTGTGAGAGAGAGAGCGAGAGAGCGAGAGAGCTTTTCCATATTCCAACAACATTCCTGCGTTCATTCAGCTCAGTGACACTTTGTAGTGAATTGTGTGTGCTGAAGGGAATCATGTACCCAAAAATAGATCACATTCTGATGAAATGTGTTTTGCAGCTTGCTAGACTGCCTGGAATGTACCACCTGTACTAAAAAATATTGACCGCAATAGAGCAAGGTCGAGTTACACCAGCTGGAGATCTGGCCCGTGCCTTTCCTATGGAAGTGTGTGGGGGGGGGTGGGGGGGAGTTTGTGTTGGAGGGGGTGAGCTGTTCATTTCTGTGTGCTTGAGAGGGGGCCATTTATGTGTATACTTGCCAGAGGAGAAAAGGTATTGTGTGCTTATGTAGCGCAAGGGGATCGCAGAGGAGATTTGGGGCACAGGGTTTGAACAGGCTGTCGTGGGGACTGCGATGTGTGTGTGTGTGTGTGTGTGTGTGTGTGAGTGATGGAAGCCAGTGGACTCTGTGTGTGTGTGTGTGTTTATGAAAGAGAGAGAGATGGCTGGGGTGAGGGATTTTGTAGGGAACAGGAGAGATTGTTGGTGTGATGTGTGGGGGATGAAGTTCAAGAGATATGGAAGGGATCGTGGAGGGGGAAGGGAGGGAATCAGGAGCTGTGTGTATGATGGTGTGTGGGGAGGTGAGAGGAGGGATTTGTTTGTGAGTATAGAAGGGGTAATAAAAAGATCCTCTGTTTCTCTGCTCTGAGAGCTCAGGTTTTTATTTGAGTTCTCAGCGCCTGTTGTGTTGCCTGCTTGAAATGCCGATTGTGGCTCTCAGAGCAGTTTATGCTGCTTGCTCCTCTAGAATAGATCATTCCTTGCAAGCCCTGCCACCGAAAGGATCCAAATGGTGTGAAACAGATAGGCCAAGTCTACGCTACAAAATTACGTTGACCTAACTTACATTGGCATACAGCCGCTGCAGTTATTAAGTTGCTTGTGTGCGTAGGTCACCTTTAAAGCAGCAGAAGAAATTCTTCACCTGTAGACACAAACACACCCCCTCCGCCCGCAGATCCCTGTTCTTACTTTGCACCCAGAGAGGCGGAGGCGACGCTGACTCACTGTTTCTATCTATCTTTGTTCTCTCCGACTCCCAGGCCCTACCAGACAGCAGAAATGTAAAGAATCTCAGTGAAGGAAACCCAGAACACAACAAGCACTAGGCTAGCCTGAGCTGTCTCAGGGTCAGGGTTTTTCATATTCGGGTTTTATTTAAAGCATCTAAAAATTAACAAAAAGATCCTTAGAAACCCAAGCCAACTGACAGAGCACTAGCACTGGTGATATAATGCAGCGATGCGTGATGGCTCTGAGGTCCCCTTTGAAAAAGAACTGTTGTCTTCTTCTCAGTGGGGTGATAAATACACCCAGGCTGGAATTGTATCAGACATCGCAACATTCTTCCAGACTCTTTTCTGTCAGAGGCTTTGGAATCTCAGTTTGGGGAACCTGCACCGCCTCATAGCTCTTAACATTCTTATCTAACACTTTTCAGCAGTAGATCTCAAAGCACTTAGCAAAGAGATTGTTAGCCACATTGTACAGATGGGGAAACTGAGGCACAGAGTGGCCAAGTGATTTGCTAAAGGCCAGGCCGTAAACCACGGATCTATCCAAGAATAAAAACGAGGTGTTCTGCTTCCCCATCTGCTGCCCTGCTCACTGTCCTGTGAGGTAAAACAAAGATATTAGATTGTTTTGGAGAGATAAGCCTCAGACGAAATCCTGGTTTAATCACTGCAGAACTGTGGGGAGTTTTCGATCCAAGTGCAAACTCTGCAGCTCAGACGCATTTCTGCTCTCTTTTAGCTGCCTTTTGGGTTTGACTTACACCACCAACAAGGTGAAATCTCATCTCCGGCAGATAGCCCCTCGGGCTGCCTCACGTTCCCATTCTCCCAAGATTCTGGGGGTTCCGCCCTGTGAATATGGATCTCCTGGCAATTCAAGTGAGACACCCACCCACCTACACCACCTATAAGGGGGGATTTGGGAGGCTGGATAGCCCAGCAGACGGATGATAATCCTTTGAGCCCTAGATCCAACAGTTTGAATTTGGACCCAGTGATGGAAAGGCACTACCATCTGACAGCTGCTCGGTGGCCTCTGTGAAATGATTTGGTGGTCTCAGTCCGATTCCGCAGGGAACCACATTGTAAAAGGTGTTAACTGGGACCCATACTTGGACTTTCAGCAGAAAAATTAAAGACAGAATGGTCAATATTGGCAATGAACAATCCTTTATCAACCCTGGAGGTGGTTCCTAGGGGTCAGGATTGAAGCCTATTAACAAATCATTGAGGCGGTGAGGTTAAGGGTTTGAATTTGCCCGGTGCTGTACTTGTTCTGTGAATAAATATGCTTCAGTCTCTATGGGCTTTAACACTCCTTTTTAAAAAAAGTGAGCTGATTTTTTTTTTTGGTATTGACAATGTGCCACATCTCTGGGTTTTACCACATAATTTCATACAACTACAACTCCTGCTTAAAGTCCCTACTGTGTATGCACTCTGAGCTGTCTATATAGACAACTCACCAAAATTAGCCAGGGAGTACCCAATGCATGGTGTAATCAGGCCTTGCCCTGAGGGGAGTAGGATGAGGATTCTAGCCCTTTTCATTGTGGTGTTAACCTCAGAAAGTAAATTGATTATTAGGGAGGAAATTTATCAGGGTGAATAAAAAAATCATACCTGGACTGAGCAACAGGGCTCCCCTTATCTGCAGCAAAAAAAAGCTAGTGGTGGCTCAAAAATTGCCCCCTCAGATGGATCAGCTAAATTTGAGAAGCCTTTATGAAATCACCCTCCTGGCCCTCCCCAAAATCTAAGGCCAGCCCTGTGAGTACTGCTTACATTGTGAAGTCATTAGCCCCTAGAGAAGTGTCAGTGTACTCAACGGGCTAACATCTGTTCTCTTATTACCTTGGGGAATGAATACACTGTTAAGAAGTGGGGTTGTCCCTAGATTTCCACTTTAACTAGAAATGCTGAAAATGTCCACCAGGCACCTCAAATTGCATGAAATGCTGCCCATTTTGGCTCAAAACAACACTCATTCTGTGTGAGGAGGAGGAGGGAATCTGTTTATTTTCCAAAATCAATATTTCTACATTAATTAAACATTCCATTTGTTCACATATCTTTCCACGTCTTGGGTGGCATTTTGTCTTTGTTTTTCTTCCCAGCAAATACATTCTTTCATGCATTTCCCATAGTACAGGAGTTTGTGTTCCAGAAGATAGATACAATGTGTGTACGTTTGTGGGGTATATACCATAACATGAGATCCTCACCAGGATGGCTGAATGCTGAAATCTGCATGGCAAGTTAAGTTGACCAGACACTATATATTTCCAGCAGTGCTAGATGGAAAAACGTCTTTGACCAGCTCTCATTCCCAGGATCTCATTTGAATCTTGACAGATTTTGGTGAGAGGAGAAAGTTGCCTTTTGTTCTGTACAGCGTAGTCCAAACAGAACAGAATTTTTCATTTTCTATTACGTAAGGGGCAGACGGGACTATAGTACAAATGGGGTTAAGGATGGTCCAGTGGTTAGTACTGACTTAGTCCTCAGGAGGCCTAGGTTCAGCTCCCTGCTTTGCCATAGATTCCCTGTGGGTCTGTCTACACAGCAAAAAACCCTGTAGTGGTGAGTCTCAGAGTGTGGGTCTACAGATTTGGGCGTGTGCTAAAAGTAGGTGTTCTAAGTTGGGCTTTGAACCTCCTGGGCTTCAGAGCCTGGCTCGCGGATGTGGGTTTTTTCCCTGTGTAGACATACCCTCAACCTTGGGCAAGACATCTAGGCCCAGATCCGCAAAGGTATTTAGGTGTGGAAATCGACGGAAGTTAGGCACCTAAATACCTTTGAGGATCTGGCAGGGGAGTAAAGTAGAACAAGGAGCTTCCTCACTCCCCAATGCAGGCTCCTTGCATTGCCAGAGCCGGCAGGGAAGGGGGAGGGAGCAGCTGCTGGGGGTACTATTCTCGCACAGGTTTGCACGTTGTGGGGAGAGGTCAGAGTCTTAGCTTCTTCCACCCCCAGCCAGCCAGCCAGCATAACAGAGCCAGCACTGAGAGGAAAGTAATCAGCACTAGCAAATGGGCTGGCATGGACCACTGCCCCCAAGAAGCAAGGAGAAAGCAAAGACCAGCTTGGACTCTCCATGTTGCTTCTGGGGCAACATAACCATGTACTGCCTCTCACTCAGGCTGGATTATCAGGTTACAATCCAGTCCATAGAATGCCATTGGCAACAAAACTCCTTGGTAAAAATGCACCCCATTTTTTTTGTAACCAAGCAGCATTTTTCTGTGTTTATATATTTGTTGTACAACTAAGTACTAAATCAAACATGGGAGAAAATATAACCGAATACAACCCTCTCATGCTACTTGTGCATGCATATTACCTTCCATTATAAATGTGGTGGTCTTACCTGGTGTTCCAAGTGTTATTTATTACCTACTGGATCTTTTTATTTCTTTTATAGTCTCCAAAAAAGGCAAAGAAGAAGACAGAAGGAGGTGGTTCCAATGTATTCTCCATGTTCGATCAAACCCAGATTCAGGAGTTTAAAGAGGTGGGCCAACTTTGTTATCCTGTACTGCTATGTTATACATTCTCCCATCACTGCTTAGGATTGTTTTGCAATCGTTACTTTGTTCATCTGCTTTAATAGACTACACGGTTGTTTTCTGAATCATCTTAGTGGTTTTCGCTGATAACATTTTACTTGTGCACTTTTATGAATTTTTCTTTCTTTCTTTCTTTGCTCAAGATCTAGGTGTTACACATTATTAAAAAACCTACAAAGCTCAATACAAAAAAAATTACTATACAATTCACTCAGAAAAGCATTTGAGCGCACGCTTAAGGCTATTCACATTCAAGACATCATTTAAGCATATGCTTAACTTTAAGCATGTATTTCAATGCTGGGATACTTTCCTTTACTGGGGCTTTAATTAATGGATAGTTGATTAAGGGGCTGCACATCACAGAGCTGTAGACTACAAATGTATACAAATTATGGTAGGTGGATACAGTGAGCTAGCTATATGCACCTGCGGATGTTACCACTCATTATAGTCAATGTGTATCAATAAACAAGGTGACATCAGAGATGGTAAAAGATACAGTACCATGGAAATGGGCACAAAAGACAGGTAGAGAGATAGAGGCAAGGCGGGTGAGGCAAATATCTTTTATTGAACCGACTTTTGTTGGTGGAAGGGACAAGCTTTTGAGCTTCACGGAGCTCCCTGCAGGTCTGGGGAAGGAAACCAGAGCTAAATACAAGTTGGGCCAAATTGTTAAGGATAAGGAGATAACACGTGGTGGGAGACCACTTAAAATGAAGTTGGCAATTCAAGGTAAGAGTATTAAGCATAAGGGTTTACACATGCTGTAGGAGACAACTTATAATGAAATGGGGAATTCAGGGTAAGCAGGCAATGGGATGTTACAAATTGTAATGAGCCTTAAAACCAGTGTCTCTGAGTCTATGGTTTTGAGTGTCTAGGAGAGTTATGAATTTAAGCTCCCAGGCTTGCTTTTTCAAGGGTTGTGTAGGTTTCTTTTGAGGATGAGTATCAAGAGGTCAGATCGGGAGCGATCGCTTCATGAAAAGTGTTCACCATAGGTAAAATGGTGTTTTTGTCTTTTATCATTTTAATGTGCGAGTTCATTTGAGAGGGTAGTGATTGTCTGGTTTTACCCACATAGTCGTTATTGGGGCATTTGATGCCCTGGATGAGGTACATCACATGTTCATGCCTACATAGGCATGTAGAACACATGAACCTTGAAAGGTGTGTTTTAGGAGATGTTGATCATTGTAACAGTGGAGATATGTCTGCAGGTTTTGCATCTGTTGTTCTGACAGGGTCTGGTACCACTTTGAGTTGGTGGGTCCTGGTCTGTGGGGAGCTTGCTTATGATGATCAGCTTGGTGAGATTGGGGCATCATTTGAAGGCCAGAAGAAGGGGTTTGGGAAAAATTTATTTCAGGATGTGAGCCCCATCCAACATGGGTTGTAATTGTTTGATAATACTCCATATATGTTCCAGTCTGGGGTGGTAGGTGACAACTAGAAGTGTGCAGTCAATGGGTTTTTTTTCCTGGATTGAAGCATGTTCTCCCAGGGTATTTGGGTGTCCCTTTCCATTTTTTGTCTACTTCACTGGCAAAGTGTCCTTGTTTAGTGAAGGCTGTTTTAAATGTGTTTAGTTGTGTATCCCAGACTTCCTCCTCAGAGCAAATTCTGTGGAATCTGAATGCCTGGGTGTGGACAACAGATTGTTTTGTGTGCCTGGGGTGCATTTGTGGAGATAAGTGTGGTGATCTGTGGGTTTCTTGTATATAGTCTTTTGTAGGGTTCCGTTGCAGAAGCTAGTCATGATGTCCAGGAAGTTGGTGGTGTGGGAGTGTTCTAGAATGAGTTTGATGGATGGGTGGTGGTGGTTGAAGTTATGGTGGAGATGAAAATATCCTTGATGTATGTCAGGCATATCATTGGTTTTGTGGTGCATTTTTCCAGAAATTCTTCTTTGAGGTGGCCCACGAAGAGGTTGGCATATTGGGGAGCCATCTTAGTACCCATGGCTGTTCCCATAGCTTGGACAATGTGTTTGTTGTTAAGTGTGAAGCTGTTGTGAGCGAAGATGAAATCAATGAGTTTGGTAATGCATTTAGAGGGATAGGTGAGTGTTGTACATTATCCTGTAAGCATTTGAGGCAGGCAGCAATGCCATCATGGTAAGGGATGTAGGTGTAGAAGCAGGTGACATCAATGGTGGCAAGGATGGTGTTCTTGAAGAGGCTGTTAATGTTGTGGCGTTTCTGGAGGAAGTTGGTAGTGTCTTGGGGGAAGCTGGCCTGTTGTGTGCGGAGGGATTTGAGGATGGTTTCTATGAGTACTGAGATTCCTCCAGTAAAAGTGCTGTAGCCAGATATTATGAGTCTGCCTGAATTCCCTTGATTGTGTATCTTTGGGAAGCATGTAGAAGGTCCCTGGGATGGATAGATAGATAGATAGATAGATAGATAGATAGATAGATAGATACCACTTTCAGAGATATTATTGGTTCTTCCAACATTCCCATTGTGAGCTCAGGAAAATATCTCTCAAATCATTAAAATCTTTCAAAGTATAAGAAAATTTTAAATTATGACCATTGTATGTATGTAGGTAGGTAGGTAGATAGATAGGCGTATTTAATGATGAATGGGGAAGAGGTTAAAGTTCCAAACTTGTGTGTTGGCTAAAAACTACAAAAACAACAAGTGTATTTTCCGCAAACTATCGAGAATTGCCTGACAGGAGATATTTTAAGGTCAACATACTGAGGTCATTCACAGAACAATTAGACCACAGCCTGAAGGACACAGTGTGATGGAAAGGGCAACAAGCCTGGGTTGAATAAATAACACATCAAAGTAGAGATTTCTGAGTTTTCTTACTTCACTTTTGTATTTTTATTTCCTCTATGAGACTTTGAGGCTTCCCTGTTAGCCCCCACAGAACTTTGACTTTAACTCAGCACCAGTTTGTGATGTCAAGTATCAGGGGCTAGCCGTGTTAGTCTGTTTCCACAGAAAGGAGTCCGGTGGCACCTTAAAGACTAACAGATTTATTTGGGCATAAGCTTTTGTGGGTAAAAAATCGACTTCATCAGATGCATGGAAAAAGGTGCTGCCAGACTCCTTGTTGAGTTTGTGATGGCCACTCTTGTTAATTGTCTTACAGCTTGTTCTAGCCGCACAGGACAATGTGATATAGGCAGGGGTACACAACCCATGTAACAGCCTCCGTGGCAGCTGTGACTAGAGCTTCCCTAATCCAAGCTTTCACGGGTTAAAGCCCGAATGGCTGGATCTGACAGCACTGGCATAGACCCAACTCCATGCTGCGCCGAGTGTTAATTTAGTAAGAAGAAGTTTGGGTGGGTTTAATTAAATCTCTTGCCAAGATACATTAACGTGTTGAAAGTAAGTAAAGCAAAATCACACTGTACGTTGTAGATTAATAAAGGAAAGATAAATGTTCCCCTTTCTAACGCAAATATAATACCACATTGATGAGTATCAGGATTGACAGTGGGACATCAAGAGGCAATGGTAACATAATGCCCCTTTTCTCTTAATAGGCTTTTACCATTATGGATCAGAATAGAGATGGCTTCATTGACAAAGCAGACCTGAGAGATACATTTGCTGCATTGGGTGAGTAAACAAACAAACAAACAAACCGATAAATAAATAAATAAATAAAAGTACTCTAAATGCAATTTAAATTTCAAGCGCATATGAAAGGATTATATTAAAATTAGAGCCGGATGAGTCATAAGATATGCATGAGGCTCAGAGAGCCAAAGGGAAAACCTGCCAAACCTGCTCAATTTGATCCTCCTCCTCTATGGCTGGTAGCTGCTATCTTGGCTGTCTATCTCTAGCCGGGAAGTTTACTGAGCAGCCCCTTTCAAAGGCTAAATGAGGGCCATTCCGGGATTCGTTGGCGGGTGATAGAGAGTGGTGCAGCTGACATCCTCTCCTAAGAGACTGATCCCTCCCCATCAACCCTTTCATAATTAGCCCACCCACGTAGGGGTCCGTGCCTGGCATTTCTGATTTGCCTTTTTATCCGGGCTTCTTGAGCTGCACCTTTTTCATCTAAGAGTCATGTAAATATCTACCAATTAATGTTTCTGTCATGGACCAGCCGCCATCCTTCCCACGCCAACGTGGGAACTTCATGTGAAGGTCTGTTCCTCTGTGCCTAGATTGGAATGTGCGTGTCATGAGGTTAATGAAGGCCTTTTTCAAGCCATAAGTCTAGAGCGTATTTAACGCCTTACAACATCAGGCCTTCCCATGCAATGGAAGGTCAAAAGGCTCATAAACCCAAACCTGGAGCTACATCCCTTTTGCAGTATTTGAGGCTTGAACAGTGATGTAGGTGTCTGGGCTTTTGCCATCTGGATATTATCAAGAGGAGTTAATGATTAAAATCCGTAGTGCTCCTTGGGGTGGAATCAGACTTCAGCAGAGTCCATGCAGAGAGCTGCAGCTCCCCATATCTTTATAGTGATAGTGAGGAAATTTCCACTTGCAACCAATGTTACTCTGGAATGTTCATTTCCTAGGGCCAGTTTCTGATACCCTTAATTCATGCCGAATAGCACCTCACCCTTCAGCTAGGCCCACTGAAATCAATGGGACTGCACACCTAGCCAGGTACGACTCAATTTGAGTAGGGCGGTCAGAATCTCAACTCTAGTCGAAGTCCTGCAGGTTGGAAGGGAACAAACAGGGTTACCCAAGTCATCTGTCCATTCTTATTATGATTGCATACTCACAAAACCATCTCATGGGTGATCGTGTAATAGGATGAGGGCTGAAATTCTGGATTTCACCCGTGGTGAAAGATAATCAGTTTCTTCAGAAATGGGCCCCCATGTTGGCTATTATTGCCCCCATATTTATTACTTTCCCCCTCCCATTCCTTCTTTTGTCCTTTTATCCTGTAGCCAACTCCTTCAGTTTGGTTTATGACAGTGACTTTTTGAATTACATCTACCTGAAGTTGGGAATGGGCGACAGGGGATGGATCACTGGATGATTACCTGCTCTGTTCATTTCCTCTGGGGGCACCTGGCACTGGCCACTGTCGGAAGACAGGATACTGGGCTAGATGGACCATTAGTCTGACCCAGTAGGGCCGTTCTTATGTTCTTATGTCTTACCACATCATTAACATTGTTCTGCTGAGTCCAGAGCACCACAGTGGGAAGGGGGTAGTGGGGAATCACTTCTTGAAATAAAATGATTATTTATTATGAAAAATAATCTCTGCTACTACAGGTCGCTTGAATGTCAAGAATGAAGAGCTAGAAGCCATGGTGCAGGAAGCTCCAGGTGCCATTAACTTCACTATTTTCCTGACTATGTTTGGTGAAAAACTGAAAGGTAAGTACCATTGGTGGGTTAGAGAGGTATCTATCAGTGTTCTTATAAGGACCTCTTTGTTGTAATATCTCAGCACCTCGCAAACATTGATCAATGCATCTTGAAAACACCCCTGTGAGGTAGGGAGGAATTATCTCCATTTTTGCAGACAGGGAATTAGGGCACAGAGAGACTAAGTGGCATGCCCTTGGACACACAAGGGCATGTTTAGTGGGAAAAGTGGACTGATTTAATCTCATCTGACTTCACTAGAGTTAGAACAAAGGGGAATTTGGCCCAATGCTATATCAAATACAGGGATTTCTGCCACAGGTACTAGATTCTAACTGGAAGCCAGTAATTTAGTTTAATTTTTTGCATTGTATGTGGCCAAGAATTGCAGAAGAGAGATCCCAGTGGCTAAGATGCACCTCCAGTCACCTTCTCAATAAATATTAATGAGGAGAGAAAGGTTTGGCCTTCAGATCAAGGTAATTCTGTTCTGTTCAGGTTCTTGTACCACCTTCATCCCCTGACAATCTGAACACCTTCCAAAGTCCATTAAGTTTTTATAGCAAGTGTTTGCTGTCTTTCTCTTTCCTCCCATTTCCTCTCAAGGGGGAATATTATGTTGGGATTTAAAAAACATATTTTTAATTATTTATTTTATGTTTGCTGTGCTGTGCTGTGTCTATATTACTGAAGTCAAGGTCAAAGAAGTGCTCCTTGCTCTTGGAACAGAAAGTCGTAAGGTTTGAGGTGGACTTGAACTTAATCAGGGGTAGGTCAGTAGAACCAGTAATATCTCTTAAAGTTTATCTAATCTCTCTCTCTAATCTGCCCATCACAGGGGTATGTGCATCTTTATTTATTTAAGACAAGCCCTTAGATCCTTAGGGTGTGTCAGCCCTGCAATCACAGGATATGATTGCAGCTCGTGTAGACAAACCCTAGCTAGTTTTAATCTGGCTAGCTTGGGTACTGGAGCAGTGAAGCCACGGCTGTACAAGTCTGGTATCCTGGGTAATTACTTGTGGGGCTAGCCTGCACCGAACTGCCATAGCTAGCTAGATTAAAGTATGTCGTGCTCGCACACCGTGATTACAATGTGGCCATACCTCAGACGGTAACACTCAGCCTCCTTCACGGTGCTCTAGCTGGGATCTGCTGGATATCTTGATTCACCCTTCTGGAGTGCACTCCTGCCTGTTCATAATGTCCATGATCACACAGCGCTTGGCAAAGTGCCTCTTTTCCTTTCTGTCCTTTGCCTCCCACAATTGCTGAAGCCTGGTGAGATTCCAGCCCTGCCAACTGCGTGGCATGAAAACAGAGCCAGCACAGGAAGGTAAATGGGTGAAGCGTACCCCTCTTGTCCACAGGTTTCCTGTTGGCTATTAGCAGGAGAGCTTTTTTTCCCCTTCTTCTTCTTTCCATTTGTCAAAGGGAAAATCACAGCTGTGCTTGTCATGCCCTTCTGGTTGGGTTTGTCATGCAAAATAAGCAGAGCCAAAAGCCTGCACATTCCCAATCAAAACTAATTGGGATGAAGAGTCTTTGTAGTACAATTATAAAGGGAGAATGGGCTGGAGGAAGTGGATATGGCAATTTTGCAACACTTTTTATTAGCTAAGTACCACTCAGAGAGTTTGGTGAAAGGTGCTTTCTAAGTGAAATTTGTTGTGCTGTAATTGATTTCTGTCATAAAAGGGAAGCTGGGATTTTTGAGACAAGCTTTAGCTTTGTATATTGATATTATGATGCCAGATGAACAGCTAACAAAACTCAGTTTATGTTAATGCCAACCACATGGAGCTGTTTCTACAGGGAGTTGGAATAATGCAATTTGTACAGAAAACAGAGATGCCTCACATCAAAGAAACCACTTTATTTACTAGCTAATCAATAAAGAATGCCTGCTGCATTGCTTCTCTTCAAAGCTGAAGTCCAGGGATATGACAGAGTAGAAAATGTGAAACGCACTAAGGGGAAAAAAAATCCCCCATGCAGAGGTGACTGCTTAAAATGCAACCCCCTCCTCCGAGCTGGGATAAGTTTCACTGCATGAGACAATCAAAACATTAAATACCAGCACTCACTGTATTGAATGCATAGCCATTGCAGTTTGAAATAAGTGTCCAGAATTTTGCAGAAGAATACTCCTGGCCGGTGGTACAAAGGCCTAGAAAGAAGTCCTCTAGTTTATGGATCATTAACCACGCTGTTATGGGCCACCCTGTCAGTTCAGATACTGCACAGCCATGTGCTAAATATCCTTGTGAAACCTTAGCAAGAAACTTCTTGGGGAGTGGTCAGGGAGTGTGGATTGATAGACAGAGCAAAGAACCAGGAGTCAGAGCTCCTGGGTTCTGTCTCTGTTACATTGTGTGACATAATGGCATTGCTGTGCTGAGAGCACATTTTCCTATTATAATTACACTTCAAAGACTCACCATTCCAGTTAATTTAAATGATCTGTGTGGCTCAGTTTACTTGTTTGTAAATTGGATTTTGTACTATTGTTGTTAATGGTTATTTCTATTATGGTACCACCCACAAGCCCAAACCAAGATTGTGCTCAGATCTGTAGAGACACATAATAAAAGAAGCCCTGTTCCCAAGAGCTTACAGTCTAAATAGAAGAGACAGACCTGGGGTGGGAGAAAGGAAGGATTATTATTTCTGTTTTATGGACATAGTGAGTTTGAGTGACCTGCCCAAGGTCAAGCAGAAAGTCTGTGGCTGAGCTGAGAACAGGAGCCACATCTCCTCAGTCCCAATCTAGTGCCTTAACCAAAAGACCCTCTCTTTTCTCCAACTAATACTTATCTGCTTCCCAGGCATGTCAGTGAGGGTTATATGGTGCTTTGAGATCCTCAGATGGAAACACAATACACAACATAAGGACAATTCACTATTGTACATTGATCATCCTGTTTCCATTGCATTTCATTGACACTTCATTTTGGTGACGAGCTCCATTTCCTTTGGCGAGGGAAATAACCTCTCCTCTATATAGTGGAGAACAAGTAACATCAAAAAGTGTTTTTACAAGGAACGTACAGTACAAGATTAAAGGAAGCCAGCCGGGGAAACAGTTTGTTATATTTTCATTTCTGAAAGCTGCTAATCCTCTGGGTACTGATATTGGAGACCAGTTCCTGGAAGTTTTCTCTCCTGCAGACACAGAATAGATATGAGTTATTATTTTTAAGCTTCTGAACACTGAACTATTCACCTTTATTGTTTATCTGACATGACAAATGCTGCAGACTTAAGAAACCTTTGTCTTCAAACCCACAACTGCAGGTTCTCCATTTTGCTCCATTTTCAGATGAATGTAATTATTTAGCAAATATTAGACAGCCATACAAACATACACACACTCACACACAGAGACATCTACATTATATTTCATTTTCTTTTAGGCACGGACCCAGAAGAGACCATTCTGAATGCTTTTAAGATTTTCGACCCAGAAGGAAAAGGCCACATAAAGGCAGACTAGTAAGTTTATTTATAATACTTTAAAAAAATAAATAAATAAGTGCACTGCGTAAAGGGGCAGTTTAAAGGATGTACATTCTAAGAGGCAGAAGAGCTGGCAGGCAGAAAAGCATGTTGCTTTGTAAGCGACAGTCAAAAGACTAGATTGTTGTATAAATGTCCTTGTATCCCCCCAAAAAGAGATGTTATTGTCTTTAGATATTGCAAGAGGCAGCGGAAATGTAATCACATGCATGCCATTAGATAGCCTCTTTTCAAGGTCTGGATATAAATCAACCCGCGACCCACTCTTTATAGATCAACTCCATATGTAAAATTAAAAGGAGTGTCTGGTGCAGAACTCTCAAAGAGGGCTTGACTTGAAGGGGAAGGCTCGTCCTCTTTTAAAAATAGAGCAGTCAGCTTAATTAATACAGGGAGACGGCTTCAGAGAGGATCTCCCCTTGTTAAATGTTTACCATTTGAGCCCTCTACTCCTAGATGATCATTTTCTCTAGCTTTCCAGATCACCAGCGGACCTTGTGGAAGCCCCATCATTAATTATTACTAGTAGTATTATTTATTATTTTAAAGACAGCTCCCCAACTGTGCTTATATAAAGATGTAAGGCCCAATTTTTATTTACATACAGTAGGCCCCTCTACATCAATCTGGCAACGTAAAGGAGCTTGAATGGGGGTGTTAAGTGGTATAAAGGGCCCTTAATATAAATGAGAATCAGGCCCATGAGATAAATTATTTGAAGGAGGGAAAATAGCTAAGGAACTCTGACCTATGAGTTCAGTGGGACTACTCACATGGTTGAAGTTAGACGTACTTAAATACGTCTAACTTTGAGAATAAGGGCCTAATTACTTATGCTACAGCAGCCAGTGTTGGGGCCTTTCACAATGTCCATTTTGTAAATGATACTAATTAGGAAGCCATGAGTTATAAAGTGATAACACATCAAGGGGTTCTGTCAACACCGTGATAACGTGAGTGAACCTCCAGCAGTCTGTGCTGCTCTCAGACTCCCTGATGTGTATGTGTAGCCTGAAGCAGAGTATTCGTGGACTGCGTTCGGTGTAACTGATGGATAGTGCAAGTAAATTAAAAAAATAAATTAATGTACAATGTCTCCTTTATTTAGTGTTATTTATTTCTCTTACACTTGAGTCCCCAGTCAGTATCAGAGCCTCATTGTGCTAGGTACTGTACAAACAGAGAGTAAGGGTTTGTCTATACAAACATTTAGTTTTGCAGCAAGCTGGGGTGTGAATCTCCCCCATACTTGCCTGCCACAGTCTACTGTCCCTGTGCACTCTGCTGACGCACATTGACAGTTTGTTAATGTGCTTTGATCTAGTCAGGTTTCAAAGAGGGCTAGATCAAAATGCATAAATGAATTGTTAGTGCACATCAGTGGGGTCCACGCTGCTAGTTAGTCAATGGCAGGCTAGCACCCACAGCTTGCCACAAACTAAGTGCCCGTGGAGACAAACCCTAAGAAACAACCCTTTCCCTAAAGAGTCTACAACCCAATTTAATCAAGTGGGTGTACCTAACAATTGGAAGGAACTAGAGGTAAGAGCCCTCCTGTTTGTTTTGAGGCTAATATTATCCAGACAGTTTGGGAAGAGCTCCTTGCTGGGCAGTGGGAGTGGGACATCTGAAGTGACTCAACATACCAGAGTACAGTTTATCCTATTGCCTAATAGGCCATATCACATGGTAGTGAAATCACAACCATGAAATATGCTCTTCTGATGATACCAGAACCATGAAATATTATTTTCCCACCACCATCTTTAGCAACATATTGGATACAAAATATGCCGCTCCCCTTTCTATGCCTGATCCTGCAGTCTTTGCACACGCCAAGGTCCAAATGAAGCCTCTTAGAGTCTGGGGCGAATTAGGAATTAGGAATGACTCCAAAAGCGAAGAAGAGAGCACGATACTTTTTTTTTTCCTTGACGGAAAAGGTCATCCTCCCCACTTCCTCTGCACAGCGAGCATTAGACAATGGCTTTAGTTCATCACCACAACAGAGCATAATGTTTACTTATTAGACCCGAGGGTAATGTTGATCATTACAGAACAAACCATTAAATCAATTCCATAAATGTCTTTGAGGTTTAACTTCTATTCATATGCTTCCAAATTTTAAACATTTGAAGGTTTTGCAATCATTTTTACAGTGGATCACCCAACCCTTTCAATATGACAGTTAATATCTTAATAAATAATATTCCTCCATATTAAAACCATTGGGATGGCTCCCCCAAACTCAGTCACATCGACCTTTTAATCAGAACTTATTTTTTAGATTCATATAGTTAACATCCTTCTGGAGATTTTATGTCTCTTCCTGCTGCATGTTTTCACCTCTTGTCTGGAAATGACTCACTCAGTCCATCCGAAGGCAACTGGGATGGACTTTTCTAACCTTTCCAAAAGCTCCAGGAGTTTGTAACAGACTTCCAATTTCCATGACACACTTTGTTTCTCCACGTTGTTTTACCACACACAAACTCCCGCCTATACAATGACGTCAAAGAGAGCAAATATGTTGGGCCAGATTCACAGCCGGAGTAAACTGGCGTAGCTTTTGGAAAGGTTGGATGACTCAGTCCCAGTTCCCATTGATTGAACTGAGTCTGGTCAATGTCAGTCAGTTCTAATAATGAAGTCAATGAAGCTGTGCTGATTTGCACCAGCTGACGTGCTAGCTCTTTGAGTTTCAACGTTTCCGGGCCCTTTGGAGAGTCGACGCGATACGACTGAATTGGGGATGTTCGCCCATGATCTAAACCAGTGCTTACACGAACCCGGAGAGCTTTTTCCAAGACTGCATTGCGTGATGGGCTCTTCCCCATAAAAAGCAACTTGCCCCATGGATTTCAAAGGTAATTTTCTAAAATTATTTGGAAATCAAAGGAGCAACCAAAATATTTTAAATATTAGAACCAGTCGATATTAGCCAGAACAGATATAATCTCGTGTGCCACATCAAAGCAAATGGGCACTGACTGGTTTCTGTAAAGTCACCACAAGGCTTTGATTTTTTTTAATTTTTTGAGAAAAAAATACTATGCAAAAAAGAAGTACATAGCTTCTAGTTTTGGAAATTCTGAGTGTTCGTTTCCCTATAAAACAAATAATGGAAAATGTGCATAGGTCCTTAACTCAGTCCTTCTTACTTGTGAGAATGCCAAGGGCTGCTGGGCTATGCATCAGAAGATTATAATTAGACATTTGAGCCTTTTTTTTTTCTTTCCAAAAACACTCTAAGCCCGTGAACAGAGGACACATCGCACCCAGCTCTCTTCCTAATTCAAGCCTGTATGAGATGGAAGTTTATTTGGGATCCCTAAAACACAACAAGTAGTTTAAGTGCTTCTTCCCACTGAACAATCTGCTTGGTGTATCCAGCGCCCTCCTATTTATGTTTTTCTACTCCTATTTTTTATAGGGTGCAAATGTCCAATTATCAATGTACTTCCATGAGAACTAATTACAGGCAGCAGCAGATCATGTGATAATTACATTGCAAAAGCAATGATAATGTAACAAATGGTCTGGTTAAGAAGACAAAAATTATTAGTGACAAGGAAAGTCTTCATATGACTTTGCTAAATAAAGAGGGTGGGAAAAGAATACAGGAAATTTACTGTCACGTAACTAGAGCTGTGTTAAAGCGTGGAAAATATTTTCCAGAAATTTTGTGTGAATATTTTCACTATTTTGTTCCTCAGGCCCCATTGGTAATCCAGAAATTTCATCTCTCACCAAATGGCCCCTTCCCAACAACAGTATGCACATTCAGAAGCATATATTTTTTATACAAATTGACTTCTACCATAAAGAAATTCTGATTTTTGTATTATTCATTGGCACTTTTCATTTCACAAGTGTTCTATTTTCAGAAGATGCATCCATGACATAGCACAGGGCTATTTTTATGTTTTTCAAAATCAGTTCCATTTTCAAAAATATAAAACTGAAATGGAAATCTTTGGATTTCAATTCTTGTTTCAAATTCTACGCACATATCTAATTGTAACCCACTGTCACCAATTTATAATCTATTTCCTCTAGATTTAGGTCTAGATCTATATCCTCTAGGACTTTCTGAGAGTGCACAAATATCCTTTGGGAACAAGAACAATAAAGACAGTTTTAATTTGCGCTCTAATAATTGAATAAAGGATGGGGCAAAGGTTGAAAGTAAAAATGATCTGGGCTTATCTACACACAAAGTTGTACCATTTTAACTACACCAGTATAGTTAAAACAGTACAACCCCACCTAGAGTGGACACAGGCTCTTTATACTGGTATAGCTATTCCTGTACTGGAGGGGAATAAGCTATACCAGTATAAGGCTACGTCTTCACTACCCGCCGATCCGGCAGGTAGCAATCGGTCTATCGTGGATCGACTTACCGCGTCTTGTGAAGACGCGATAAAATCGATCCCTGATGGCTCTACCGTCGACTCCGGAAATCCACCGCGGCAAGAGGCGGTAGCAGAGTCGACAGCGGCGCGGCAGCGGTCGACTTGCCGCTGTCCTCACAGCCAGGTAAGTCGACCTAAAATACGCCACTTCAGCTACGCTATTCACGTAGCTGAAGTTGCGTATCTTAGGTCGACCCCCCGCTGTAGTGTAGACCTAGCCTTAGGTCGACCCCCTCCCCATAGTGTAGACCTAGCCTAAGGTACGGTTATACTGATATAACTGCATCTACACTAGGGGTTGTAGTGGTTTAACTATTGGGCTTAATATAGGGGTAAATAAGTGAAATTTAATGGCCCGTGATACACAAGAAGTCAAACTAGATGATTTTAAGGCCCCCTCTGGCCTTAAAACTCTATAAATCTGAGAATTTCGGTAAAAAAATCACACCCCTATTTGACAGGTATACTAGTACAGAAACAGTGTGCAGGCCAGCTAAGTTTCTGGCCCAGAGTATCTTCTCTCTTTGATGTCATTGCATAGGAGGGAGTTTGTGTGTGGTATAAGGGCTGTGTTAAAGTTCAATAGTTCCAGATCAAGATACTTTACCTTGAAATACAAGCAGTTCATAATCCCCTCTGGGAATGAGTGCTTGGGAAAAAAAATAAAATAAAAAGGATACTCATGTGGTGATTTGGAATAGCTGCTGGAGTTCTTTCAAGTCTTCTTTCTCATGTCCTTGTTCTCATTTCATGCTCTGTTTCTTTCATCCTTAGACGTCACAAAAATGCTCTCTTCTTCAGCTTTGCTAAGTTACACACATTTTTAAACAGCTAGCATGAAAACCACCATCTTAGGATAAAATAAGCGTTGAAAACGGCTATATTACAAATATAATAACTGTAAACAATCTTAAAATGTTACAAAGCAAAATAACTTGGCAGAACCATGAGGTGACATTGATGGGGGAAGGCTCTTGGAACCAAGATATCATAGTAAATCTCTTACAATATCTTTCGAGGATTAGCAGCTCTAATTTATGCAGTCACACACATTTTCAGAAAGCAGTTTGCAATCTGAGATGTGATGTGCAGTTATCTTCCTTTAACCAGGTAATTTCATTTTATCTGAACAGCATCAAAGAAATGCTTATGACACAGGCAGACCGATTCAGTCAAGAAGAGGTAAGGACCTTTTACCTTCTTTGAAATATGAATATCGCCCTAGTTGCTACTCAGCAATGGGCATTTGCCCTTCTTTAGCTGTATGAATTCAGTTCATGTCAAGACTGATAGAGAGATCCATGCTAGCTCTGGCAATTAGGAACAATACAAAAAACTTCGCCTAAGTTATTTCATGGCTAAATCAGCATCGCATACAAAAAGCATTCCTCGGATTTCCATGGAGGTGTAAGACTGACCTATAGTCAGCTGTTCTGTTCTGCAGTGAGCTAGGCAATGAAGTTCTGTTGGGTGTGGGCTGGAACAATGATCTGGGCTCCATTTCTATGGCATTTATCTCGTCTGGAATCTTGTTGGATTCCTGAACTAATCTATCAAAAGTTCTGCTTTGTGTGGGACTATGGGTATGTCTACACTACAGGATTAATCCGAATTTAGATAATTCGAATTTGGGAAACAGGTTGTATAAATTCGATTGTGCGCGGCCACACTAAGCACCTTAATTCGGTTTTTAACCACATTAATTCGGTGGTGTGCGGCCACACTACCCCATTAACTTAAACACAGTAATTCGGTGGTGTGTGGCCACACTAACCCTAATTCGAATTAACAAAATCGATTTAGGCTCTACTCCGTTCGTTGAGGTGGAGTACAGAAATCGATTTAAAGGGCCCTTTAATTCGAATTAACTGGCTCTGTAGTGTGGACGGGTGAAGGGTTAATTCGGATTAACGCTGCTAAATCCGAATTAATCCCGTAGTGTAGACCAGGCCTAAGCCTGGGTTCTGCCAGCTGAGAGGCAGGGCTCTGAGAGGAGGTTCAAACTACAGTCTGTTAGTTGAGGGGCTAGACTGGAGTACTGAATGGAATTCTATTGGGTGAGGGGCTAGCTTGGATGCTGATGAGATTTCTTTTAATCAGGGGGCTGTGGGTTCCAATGGGAGTGGGTTAGCTAGGTCAGCTGTGTTGTGATTCCTGTTCCAATAACCATTGAAGTCAATGGAGGATTTTCCATTGTGGGCTATGGACCAGGCTGCAGAGGAGCTGAACTGGGTTGGAATTCATATGGAGATTGTGTACCCTGGGTTGCGAGCACCTGGCTAACACCTGCCCATAGCATGAGGAAGCATTGTGTGTGCCTGCCAGGGGTCAACTCCCTGCTTCTCCCAGCCAAAGGCAACACACGCGCTCCCCTTTCAGCCCTCGCAGGCACCACTGACCCTCATGCAGGTTAGCAGTAGTCACATACCAACCCCTGACTCCTCCGAGCATCCCTCTGAAGTGCCCAGCCCCCATTCCACTGAAGGGTCACAGAACTCCCAGCTTGGCTCCTCCCAAAGGAATAGCTCACCCCAGCTCACTAGTTACACCTTAGAACACAGCTTCACTTAACACACAGCGCTTAGATTTATTTACAGAGAAAGCGAATATAAGTTTATTTAGCAAAGAACAGAGATTCATATGAAGCAAACCGAAATATTGGAAACAAATGGTGACACAGAAAATAAAATCATAGCACACCTTCTAGAGCCTACACTCAACTAACAAGATGCCCTCTTGTCTAATACAGTCCTGCTTTCTCCTAAGTCCTTCCCAGAGCGTTTTCCCGCCAGGGAGGCTGAGACTCTTCTTTCATGAGCCCAACCCAGCTGGCAACTTGTCTCCCCTTCCTGAAGATAACTGGGGGTTCATCTGCACCCCAGTTAGAGTTCCAAAGGTTCATCATTTTTTCTCCTACACAGAATAACCCTTGCTGCTTTTGTTTTTTCCTGCAGCTCACCCCAATCAATTTGCTTGGACTGTAAACAGGCATCTATTGTGAACCTTACAATGCTCAGTTTGCACATGACCAGTCAGAGAGAGAGAAGCATCTCTTGCCCCCTGCCTGACAGGGGTCTGTAGATCACCTTTTGGTGTTCTGCCCTAACTCACCCAGATCTAGAGAACAGGTATATACACATAACTCCCCACATATATGCCATATGTACATCTCACAATGATTATGATGACCAGTGTGACACCGGCTTTCAGCAGAGACTTTACATGGCCCATGGCCAACTCGTATGGGGATCCCAGATCCAGGGGATTCCTGTAACCCTTATGCACCTTTGTACCCTCTGCCAGTTGGCACAAAGAGTTCCCTGGGTCACAGAGATCAGTACAAGTTCCTGTCCTACCGTCCTGCATTTGTAATGCTTATTTCCTGTTTGTTTTGCAGGTCAGCCAGATGTTTGCTGCTTTCCCTCCAGATGTCTCCGGTAATCTTGACTATAAGAACCTTTGTTATGTTATCACCCATGGTGAGGAGAAGGACTAAGAGGAGATGAGCTTCTCCTCTGAAGAGATTTTATGCTTAGTTATTTCCCTGTGCTTTTGTATGGGGGACAGAGAGCTAAGCATTCAGTGTGCTGAAGCCATATGGTCATCAGAACAGAACCAATAAAACAATTGAAATTAGATTAAAGTTATTTAATGCTTCTGTTTTTAGAAAAGCTGAAAATACCAATTTTCTTAGTTTTGCCCATCCCCATTTTCCCCCCAGCAGTGGTTTGAAGTGGAATTTTCTTGACGAACTGGTACTTTCATGATTTGACAGTTCTAATTTTCACCAGATGGTCCACTGGGCAGTGCAGTGTTGCTTAACTTTTTGTCTTTTATACATGAGCTCCACAAACTCATTGAGAAATGCTCTAGCTTATTGCATTGGGAAGAGCATTTTGTAAATAGAATTCTGTTCCATTTCACAGCCCCTTACAATGAAAGTGTAAATAAAAAAAATAAGTTTTTGTCTTCTGTCTTAGTGATGTGGTCAGTTTCATAAATCACTTGACTTGTTTGCCTTCGGGCAATAAAATATAAATTGTAGAATTATCCCAGTTTATTAATAACAGAATTGCAGCACTTTTAAGTAGACACTATTGGAAACAACTGAGGAATGAACTTCCACCCTTAGAAACACCTTTGCTGTAGGGGGAGGAAATTGTTCCCGGGTCAATCAGACAAGCAATCAGGGTAGATAAATTATTCACCAGTTTCTAGTTCCATCACAATCTTTCTATAAAGAGAGTTTAGGGATAGAACCCCAGAGTCGTGAATGAGATTGCTTTGGCATAACTGAGAGCAAAATTTGGCACTTTATGGTACAGACCCAAATCCTCCACCCAGTCTGTGTAACTTGACTGGGCATTGAGGAACTCTGAGGGGGAAGGAAGCTGGTAGAAATCCTCTGTCCAGATCAAGGAACAAGTGGAGCTGCTCCACTACCACTACTAGAGTTGGAATAGCCTCATGGTCTTTGCCCACCTCTGGGGAAAAGGGGTGGAGGATCTACATACCGGCGGTCTGCTTTGGGCCCAAACCACCCTGGTACAACAACTGGGCTCCACCCAGGGCAGGAGGTGTGCTCCATCACCACGGTCTCTCTGAATCTCCGCCTTGCATGGCAGTTCATCTGCAAGAGGGAAGGATTTTTCCATGTGAGTGTAACACTGACAGATGGCGGACAGGATCAAACCTGGGACCACTAGAGCTAAACGCATGAGCCTCAAGCCACATGGCCCTTAGCTAAGGCAGTAGAGGAGACTCATTAATCTCTAAGTGGTCTCGGTGCCACTAGATGGGACAGAACACCACACACAGGAGGTGTGTGGGTTACATACTTCCCCTACCTGAGGAAGTGTGTCCCAAGCTTCAGAGACTTCTCAGTTGAAATCCCAGATGAGCCCCCACTTGTAACACCAACAGACCCCGGTCATTGGCAGGTGGGATCAAACCTGGGACCTCTGGAGCTTAGTGCATGAGCCTCTACTGCATGAGCTAAAGCCACATGGCACCTAGCTAATGCTGTAGCAGATTCATTAATCTCTAAGTGGTCTCAGTGCCGCTAGAGGGGACAGAGCACCACACCCAGGAGGAGTGTGGGTTACATGAGCACAGTTCCTCCCTCTGGTGTGCATGGTGGATCTCTTCTCCATGGCACATATTTCTGTTCACACCAAAGGGAGTTCTGCTTAAGGGACGAAGGCAGACTATGGGACAAAGAACCATGCAGATAAGGGGTCTGCATATGGATCAGGGACACAGAGTGAAAGTAACAGAGGGTCCTATGGCACCTTTAAGACTAACAGAAGTATTGGAGCATAAGCTTTCGTGGGTGAATGCCCACTTCATCAGACGCAAGAGTGAAAGTGATCAGTGGTTTGAGCATTGGCCTGCTAAACCCAGGGTTGTGAGTTTAATCCTTGAGGGGGCCATTTAGGGATCTGGGGCAAAAATCTGTCTGGGGATTGGTCCTGCTTTGAGCAGGGGGTTGGACTAGATGACCTCCTGAGGTCCCTTCCAACCTTGATATTCTATGATTCTATGACAGGTTTCAGAGTAGCACCCGTGTTAGTCTGTATCCGCAAAAAGAATAGGAGTACTTGTGGCACCTTAGAGACTAACAAATTTATTAGAGCATAAGCTTTCGTGGGCTACAGCCCACTTCTTTGGATGCATATATGATTCTATGATTTGTGGTTGTCAGCCTTGGGGTCCCAGGCCGGAGAAACAAATGACATCGTTTCTCAGCAAGGAGTTTGCTGCTACTAGCGAGAGACTCAGAACTGGCCAATTTGGTGATGAACTGTATTTGGAAAGCAATCCAAGGGTGCTACATGGCAAGGAACGCTTCCCATGACCTCATCATCTCTCAGACTCACTCTCTCCCTACATTCCCTTCTGGGAGCTGCTCTCAGGCAATCCCAATGGTTGCTCTCATATGGCAGTGGTGGAGGGCCTGCGGCTCTAGAGTTGGCTTCTACTTATCTAGCCCCCATCACCAGAGTATCTGAATCCCTCACAAACATGAATGGCTTAAGCCTAACAATCCCTCCGAGAGGTAGAGAATTATTATCCCATTCTTATAATGGGAGACTGAGGCAGGTCACTATTGTGGCCAGAATTATCCACAGAGCTCAGCATCCATAATGGGGGCCAAGTTTTCAAAAGGGCTCAACACCCAGTTAGGCACCAAAATAAGTGGCCATCTTTTCAGCAGCGCTCAGCACCCAACGTACTGTGTTTTTCTGAAAATCGGACCATCCGTGTTGCCATGGGAGCTGCTGGTTGCTGAGACCTTTTCAAAACCGGGCCTACGTGTGGGTGCCGAGGACTGGCAAAATCTGGGTCCTGAGTTCTCCTAAAGATTTGGCCCCACGAGCCTGGAAATGTGTGGTCTCCTGGGTCCTCGGTGCAGTGCTTTAACCAGCCAGAGGCTCTGTCAGAGCCGATTTCTGTCCACTCTTATTGCGTGGTACACGTTGCCCCTCTCGTCTGTCTACCTGTTCTCTGGCCAGGGGCTCTTAGTCGGGGACAAGAAAGGTGGCTCAGCTCATTGCCTATGAATAGGAGCATAAATGGGATTTGAACTATGGAAGCAGTGTCCATGTCGCCACATCCTAACATAACAACAACAAATAATAATTAATATGGATGTTTAGAAACCTAATCCAGGCAGCTTTTCTGTAAGTATCCTCTTTCCACTGTTGCAGCAGGGCCTTTTGTAAGCTCCCTGGGGCAGGGGCCAGCTTTTTGTTCTGTGTGTACAGGGCCTAGCACAACGGGATTCTGGTCTGCCACTGGGGCTCGTCGGCGCTATGGTAACATAAATAATAAACACGAATTGACCATTGTTGGGCTTTGCCGTTGGGGCTTTTCGAATTCTGGGTCTGTGCCATTCTGTTCCTGTGCCACCAACAACACTTCCTAGTCCTGCAAGGCAGGAGGAGTTCAGGAGCAGAGACTCTCTCTGCATCGCTCTGTTGTTGAAGCTGATTCTTGATCCCCTCCCCCCCCCACAGCTAAATAAGCAGAAGTTGTGGAATATCATTGACTTTATTGGTGAGCTGTGCACATCTTGCACCCAGCCACATGCCCCTTGGACAAACAGGAGAAAAGCAACACCTCATCAGCTGGTTTATTACTGGAATGAGAAGACTCTTTCTGTTCAGTAGCCAGGGGGATTAGCTTCTGCCCTTCTAGCTGCCTGAGCCTAGATGGAAGCTGCTCTTGCTTGTGTTGTTACGCATGCTGCCCTTTCCCTGGGTACATCCCTTGTCTCTGCTTCGCCTATTATTGGAGGGGTATTTGCTCTTGGGTTGTGCTCTGCCTCTTGGAAATCCTGCCTCACCAGCAAAAAGGGTGGAAATCGTCTGTTTGGCTTCCCCTGCCTGGTCTCCCGAAGGGCGTTGGAATGAATGAGAGAAATGGCAACCATTGTGCAACCCGTATCTCACACATAGCCTTGGCCACCACGCCTGAACAAAGCCAGATCCCTATACTAGCGATCGATCCATTGGTTGTTTTCTGATCAGTGACAGTAGAGGCCATAGCTAGTTGCTATATATGATTCATAGATTCATAGATTCTAGGACTGGAAGGGACCTCGAGAGGTCATCGAGTCCAGTCCCCTGCCCGCATGGCAGGACCAAATACTGTCTAGACCATCCCTGATAGACATTTATCTAACCTACTCTTAAATATCTTCAGAGATGGAGATTCCACAACCTCCCTAGGCAGTTTATTCCAGTGTTTAACCACCCTGACAGTTAGGAACTTTTTCCTAATGTCCAACCTAAACCTCCCTTGCTGCAGTTTAAGCCCATTGCTTCTTGTTCTATCCTTAGAGGCTAAGGTGAACAAGTTTTCTCCCTCCTCCTTATGACACCCTTTTAGATACCTCAAAATGATGTATGGCTTCCTTCCGGATGTCCTGTCACTAGGGTGACCAGATGTCCCAATTTTATAGGGACAGTCCCGATTTTGGGGGCTTTTTCTTATATAGGCACCTATTACCCCCCACCCCCCTGTCCCGATTTTTTACACTTGCTGTCTGGTCACCCTACCTGTCACCCACCCCAGAAAAGAATGAAGAAAAGGGCTCTCAGGCAGTGTGGGGCATCACCAGCTATCTCAGTCAATGCTGTGAGGGGTGGTTCAACGCCTGATCCGGGGGAGTGTAGAAAGAGAGAAGGATGCCTACGTGCAGCAGCATGAGCCCACGGTTAAGAGCAAAGGCCCAAAATCACGAAGAAACAGATTCTGGCAAGAGTCATGTGGGCGAAAGAGATTTTCTTGAACTGAATGTTCTCCAGGAAGGGAAAGGCCATGCAGTCATCATACAATTCCATTGGATACGAAATCCATTGTGCTTTCATGGGTCAGAAGGTAATTTAATCTACTGAGTTGGACGTGGGTACCTTGCCAGGGCTATTATCATAATCGCCCTTTTTCCTGAGTCCCTTATATGGAGCTGGGAAGCCCATGGCAAGCTGGTGTGTTGCTGCCTCGTATACCGTGACAAGGGGGAAAGCACTGAGCTGGGTGCTCTCTCCAAGACAGTGATCTGTTTAGTTTCACAGCTGGGAATGCTGCTAGTTTCTCTGTTTCTTTTCCTTCCTGTTTGTACCCAACACAGCCAGCAGGTCTTCATGAAAATCTCAAAAGTTTCATGCCACAGGACAAGCACAGCACGTTCTTTAACCAGACCTCTACTGCGGGTATGTTGTTGTATGCAGGAGGCAGCTCAGATGGAAAACAGGGCCAGAAGACTTTCTTCCTGATCTTTGTGGAAGACCTGTGAGTGTTACCAGGTGGTGTTTGGGAGCGGGGCTGTTCTCATGCCCGGAAGCCAACTGTCCTTGAAGCCATCGATGTGTATTTCTGAAATCAGTACTATGTTGTTTTAATAGGTCACTGGACAGGTGAAATGGCTTTTGTACGGGGCTGACAAAATTGCAGCGTCTTGTCCTACC